TTGGTGAGGAGCTTTGAATAAGATAGGTACACATGTTCCCTGTGAGTTGATTGTTTAGCCAGGTGGTTCAAATCAACTCTCTAACCATAACCTTTGCCCCTCAGTACTTGCTAGTTCACAGACACCTGTGGCACTTACGGACTTCCTGGTAGAGATTATGTATCATTGCCTAGGCTGCTGACATGTTAAATTGGGTGGGAAGGCCTTGGTGCAGGTCCTTCAGACATGTTTACCTGTTAACTGTAGTACTTTGAGATCAGTGAATCTGTTAGTTGATCTGCTTGTTGACTCCATTAATCCCTTTTTAATGAAAGGTTTTAATCAAAATATAGTTTTTGTAAATATACTAATAAACTAATTGGTAACATGCTTGATAAGTTTTACTTTATTAAAGTAAGAGAACTAATTTCTTCCACAAGATATCATTTTCAGGGAACTATTCAGACAGTTATTCTCCAGCTTTTAATTTGATACTGAAGTAGTCTTGAATTCATGTTTTCACTGTGAGATCTCAAGCTAATGTGAATTGCATTTTTTAACATTGTCTGTAAGTAATGATTACAACAAAACCAGAAAAGATTGTTTTTAAAACTACTGCTTTTTCTAAGAATTATGCCCAAATGATTGTTTGATAATAATTTTGTAGCTTAGAAAGATGGCAGAAGGATTGCCGGGCAGGACTTACTGCTTACGAACATGAATTGTGATTCATGACTAGTATCCTGAAACTTTATACTTGTTCTCTGTGCTGTATAAAAAATTCATGTTATTTCCCTTATTTCTGTCTTGACAATTTTGACTGAGGGGGTGGTGGTGGAAGCAGAATGTCATAAGTTGAGTCTTTTCTGCCATATTGTCTCTGCAGACCTTAGAGCAAACTTTTCCTGTTCTGGCAGGGTCCCCAGTGTGGGGTGCTGAGTTACCACCGACATCAGTTGTAGTATTTTCATGCTTCTCAGGCAGTCTGATACAGCAGAGCGTATAAAGGTGATGCTGGTGTAAACGTGCCTTCTTCTCTAGCCTCTGTGCCATGGTGCGTTGCCCTGCTCAGGTCTGCTGGCAAGTTTGTGCAGTTCTGTGCAACTTAGTGATACGTATGCACTCTTTTGCTGGTTTATTTTTAATCTAGATCAATATCTATATCCAGTTAACAGTGTGGTTTCAGGAGGAGATCTGCAGACATAGAATGGGTGAGCAGTTTCATGGCTGGATGTTGCAGTACAAGGTGGGGATGAGAAACAGTGGGGCTAAACTGCAATCAAAGCTGATGGTTTTTAAGGAACATATGGCAACCATTGAAATTTTTGTCTTGAAATGCATCCATTTTATTAACTTTGCATTTCAATTTTTTAAACTCAAAATAAAGTAGAACCTCTAAGAGCTTAGGTGCAACTTGTAAGTCTTCAAAAATGCGTATTGTGTAAGTGTAGAGTGTCCCACTCCAGTGAAGGACTTGATCCTTAATGCTCAGGACACCTCTCAGCAAAACTAAGCTGAAACTTGCTTGAAGTGAAATGTGAGGTCAGGTGAACTTTATGCAACATTTGCTTTTATACTGTGAGTTTAGACCTCCGTAGTATCATTAGGTAGTTCATGGAGATGCATGGGAGGATCTTATCTGGAGTTGGGTAGAGAATCTGTATTGTGTTACAAAAATAATCTTGTCACATTAATGTGACAATGTGATCTTGAACCTTTCATTTAAAGTAGTTCTGTAAAACTTAAGGATAAAACATCGAATGCTAATCAGCAAACATAATACTGTTTCTAAGGCATAAACTGCTGTCATATTTATTAAAAAAACCAAAAGAAAACAGAAAACCAAATAAACACCCTGACAACAACCCATGATCAACTTTCCTGTATTGGCATAATCTCTGTTCTAGATTACTACTTCCAAAGTTTTGCTGGGGAGAGTGAGAAGGGAAGGCTCCAAGGGAAAGCAGGTTCAGTGGTATCTGGAGCAACTCACAAATTGTCAAGCAAGTCAGGGTTGTCTAATTTACTTATGTTAAGAAAAAAAAAGTGCTCATATCTTGCCTTTAACCAGCATGTCGATGCTAAGCATTTTTCTGTAGCATTGCAGTCAGTATGTGCATTTTATCTGGGCATATTTGGTTTCTATTTCTTCAACAAAGATGGAAGGTTGATTCTTAAAAAGGAACCTTTTTATAGCAGTTCAGCATAGCTTGATATCAGTAGAGGTCAGATACTATTCATAGCCCAGTCCAGCAAGATGCTGGGGATGTCCCAATTACATATAATGCTTATGAAAGTCTGCAGAAATGAAAAGGACTCAATTAGCCTGAAAGAGCTTGCTAGCCTTTAGGATTTGGTCCTAAAATAATTAGTGTAATGCGAACTGGGACCTTATACTATCTTACATTTTTTTCCTGCAAGAAAGTCACAAGCAAGACACTGATGCTTCTGTACTTGAAGGGTGCTTTTCTGTCTGGTGCCGCAGACTGTAGCGTAAGCTCAAACCTTGCTCTCTGCCAAATGTGGAATAGTAGCAAGGGTAACAGCATGTGCTTCACATTATGTCTAGAGGTGCATTAATGGAAAAATCTTCCAGCTATATGATGTTGCTGTCTGGCCGATATATAAAATAAAGCACAGTAGCATGTTCAATATCAAAGCTAGTGATTCATATTTGATGTGTTTTGTTTAGGTTTACATTGTGTGTGTGCTTGTCTGTTTCTAGTTTAGAACTCTAGAATGGTTTATGGATATATTGTGTATTTTAGAGCACTTTTTCAGAAAACACTAATGTATGCAGAATGTTGCCCAAAAGCAGCTTTTGCAGCTAAAAACCAAACGTGATTGTGTATGTATGTATGTCATAAGCATTTTTCTCATAATTTATTTTGCCTTGCAGAATTGCTTTCCCCCGCCCCATACATAACTAGCTTGTTGTGAAGGAAATGGGGTGACAATGCTATTAGTACTTCAAACTATTTGTAGCCACTTTTTCTTACCTTGAAGGGATTACTTGCCCCAGTCTTACTGCCCCATCTTAGTGTTGCTGCTCTTGTGGAATGGGGAAAGTTAAAACAAGCTTTTTAGAGCCTTTGTGATAGCTGGTCAGTGAAATATTGTCAGGCTTTTACTGAGTTCTCAGTAAAATCTAATATTCTCATCTTAACATGGAAAGTGTGTTTCCTTGCTTGAAACACTAAGAAGTTGCACATGTCTTTAGAGAAGTCTTCTCAGCTCCTTTTGTAATAATTTTAAATATTTTTCCTTCATAAATACCAGTTTACTCTCTTGCCAGTTTTAGGAGTTAGTGTAAAAGTGACATCAATCTAAATGGTCATGCACTGCTCTATCCACGTTATATGAAAGAATAAAGGCTTTTGTACTTTTCTATTCCCAATTTCAGCAAAAGGAATCAGAAATGCCTGCATGTTTAGATTTGCCTTCTGATGTTGTATGCCTGTATTACTGTTGTATAGATAGAGAACATGCAAATAAACATCCTCAGAGCTACAGAAGAATCCTTTATATCAATAAAACCTAATTAGTTTTTGATGCTGCATCTGATGAGGAAGGGAGCAAAAAGGTAAGAGGTAATCTTTTCTCCTGGGCTCCTAGCTCTTACACTTACTTTGCCAAGGACCCCAGGTGGCCCTGGTAGTTCTATGAGTTGTTCTGACACATCATTGTAGTTTTGCTGATAGAGACTAGCCTGGTATCTGGCTTACTGTGGCCTGTAAGTTGTCAGGTTTTTGCTTACCCTTTGGTTCTGGTTGTTGCCACAATACATGGCTTATATGTGACAAATTGATCTGCTTTCCTTTTCAGTTTCCTAAAACGCTATTGTAATGCAATACTTTAGTCTGCTTTTTTTAGCAAGCTGGATTCTAGATCTAGATGGTGTGTGGCTACTGGAAAGCATTAAGATCTATGTTGGAAAGGGATTTTGCACCTAATTAAAACGAGTCTTGTTCTGGGAGTTAACAGTCCATGACTAAAAGGAATAAAATCAAAGCAGCAGTTTTCAGAACTGGGAATAGTGTGGTGTGTGTTTTTTAAAAAAAGAAGGATTTAGAAAATGGTTTAGTCCCTCTGCAAACACAGAAATCACCAGGCATAGGCTTTGGCAAGAAAGGGTTGTCTTGCACTATTGTTAAATTTTTGAATGAAGCCACTTTGTACTATCTAAAGTCTCACCTTCAAAAGAGCAACAAAGGTTTACATCAGTGTGTGTAAAGGGCTAAACTTTTGGGGGAAAATCATATAAAGGTTCTCTTAAACATTTTTTCATCTTTGGGAGGTCATTAATTTCCTTGCTATACTATTGTCTGCCAAGGAGCTTTTCTGGTCAATGCTGGTCACTAGCAAATGACCAGAATTCCTATTATCTTGTGGAAGTGTCTTTTTTTTTTTTTTTTTTTTTTTTCTGCTTCTGTATGGAGAAGTATTACAGGTGTATGGGCTGCTTGCTAATTTTTGAAACTGCTGTAACCAAAGGACTCTGTTAGCTGTTGCATGTTGTTTGGCTTTTATTATTTTTACTATATGGGTAGTATTTACAAATATAAGAAAAACATGGGAGAAGGTAAACAAGAATTTTTTCCCCATCTTAAGATCAGAACCAAGAGCTGTCTCTTACACTGACAAGTTGTTTAGACATTCACCTCACCTAGTTGTTAGGACTGTTGTGCAATCTTAGCCTCCTGTTGCACTCCTGGGGGAGCTTGGGTGTGAGGAGCTGTATTTTAGTCAGACCTTCCTGGGCTCCATTCAGGGTTTCCTATCTCCTGCTCCCTTCCCCCACGTTCCTGAGATGCCAATCACTGTCCTGCCCAGGAAATATGGCTGTTGTTCATCTTCTGACTCATCCTTATCTTCTGGCTTTCCTATCCTCCACCTACTGATTTCCTACCCTTCTCCTACCTTCACCTCTTTAAAAATGCAAATACCCCTTGGGGAGACCAGGTGTGCAGTCATGTCCTGGCAGTGCATGTGATCCATTCTCTCTGCTTGACTAAGTCGTTATGGCGGTAGGAAAAGGTTTCTTAGCCTAGGGCATTTCCATGCACTGAACTTTACAGGTATTTTCCGTCTATTTTATTAAATATGCGTCATACAAATGTGTAAATGGCTTTGGAGTTTGACTGCTTCATGTACAACAGCAAGTACATCTAAGCTCAAGATTATGTAATGTATGTAGCCTAGGAAGGGGTGTGTGGTCAAGGATCTTTTTCCAAAGACATAGTGGTATTTAATTGGCATCGAAACCATTCGTGGATTGGGTTCATAATCTATAAAGTGTATTTCTAAAAAATCTGAATTGAAACTTTTTTATTTGGAACTGAAAATGCTTTTTTAAACCCAATGGGAGAGCTGACTAGGAAAGCAGTATGGGTAATTGGAGCATGAGTCAGTTATCACAAGTGATGCTTATTGGGAAGCATACTTCAGAGGTGCTTTTAAGCATGAAGAATTACCTGCTAACATAACTTACTAAATCCAACAACTAAATGTGAGCTTTAAAGTTAGCGGATCTTGAGCATGCTTTGTGATCAACACCATTCTGGAAGCGTAGAAGGGACTATAAAACAGGTCTGGTGCTTTGCTCTCCTGTCATCTTCAGCTGCCAGAAGGGTCTCTGGTGAAAACCACTTCTGGCTGTAAGGGGAACAATGTGAAAGGCGACGGCTTTATACTCTTGGGGTGGGAAGATGATAGATCTTTCTTTAGCTTACTTCATCAAAAAAAGAACATAAATGGTTTACGCAAAAGCATGTGCTTCTAGAAGCTATTTTGGTGCTTTGTTCAGCAATCTGAAGTCTAAATGAGAGGTTTTTGCTGGCATCCTTCAAACGACTAGCAGTCCTGTAGCTGCACTTGTCCCTGTACAGGAAATGTGAGGGTTTTTTTCCTTGCCAGCTCAGAACCACTCACTGAATCACCTTCATCAGCTGAGCCTGAGTCTAACGAGTTCTCGGTCAGCCTTGTCTAATTTAAGCATTGAAGTCATATTCAAGTCTGAACAATGCAGCCTGATATCCTTTATAAAACATGTCAAATGTTCTTAACACTCAGGATTTTAAATTTTTCATCCTTATGTCTTATGAAGTAATATGCTGCCAGATGTTTGATCCTGCTGGGACAGTCTTCTGTTTTCAATCTGACATTCCACAACATTTGTGAGGCTTTAAATACTAGGCAGTTCACCAGTGCGCACTGTTATCTTTTGCAGTGATTTATGTGTTTTCCTGAGCTTTGAGTTGTATATTGTTAATAACAGAAATACGGAAAAATGGAGGTTCTCTTGTTATTACTCTTGTCAGTAATATATTTGCAGTGCCAAGCAGTAGTCAAGAATGTCTCATCTTGTTTTGTTTTGGTTTTTTTTTTTTTTTTTTTTTTTCTGCCTTGAAGGATACAAGTCTGCACAAATGCCTAAGTGCTTCCAAATTTGCTTTGGCGGTAACTCTTAACCCTGTGTTATTCCCAACTTTCTAAAGAAGTATGCTGATACAAAGTGTATTTGAATTTCTTTTGACAAATGCTGCCAACACATTTAAAGTCCTTGGGGTTGTGACCCCTGTACACTCTGATAGCTCATTTGGTATGAAGTACTACTGGTCTGGGGGTTAGTGGGAAGATTCCAAGGGCAAAGGTTTACCTAAGTATTGTAAACATGTATGTACATATGTATATGTACAACATTAGCATTCTGTTAGCTATTGGGCTTTGAGCTGTTGTGGTGGTTCTGGCATGTGCTGAACACCTCTTCATCACTCAGGTTTTGGACTATCTTATTGCAGATGTTTTTGTATACGAAAATAATTTCATTTGCTATGTGAAAGCAGTGTTCTTGTGGTATATTGAAGGATTACTTTCATTAAACCTAATCTTAAGGGCCATTTCATGGTACTTGAGCAAGTGCGTGCTTCTGAGTACTTGTTTTTTCTTCCAGTGTTCGAGAAGAATTTTGTTTGTCTGTTTCTCAGTCATGAAAGAATTTGTTTTCCTGTACCATGTTCCCAGCTGTATTCAGTACATACAGAAAGGGAAATATGCAAAAGCATTTATAACAATAATTGAAAACAGTCATCTTTATAGTACAGATATACTCAAATTAAATGGAGGATTTCCAATTTGGTGAGATTCATTCCAGAAAGAATATAAAGCTACAAAACCACTTATCCTGGCTTTCTGAGCACAGAGGTACTGTCTGTCTGCATAGTCTGAATTAATAAATAATTCTACAGTATCTTCTGATAAGGCCAATGAAATATATGGATTTTGCATAATTATTTCTACTGTCTTGGTATTGGCACTTACGAATTGCTGTCTAAATACAGATCATGTTTTTGAAGGAACTAGTGATAGGATGCAATCATCTAGAACTAATTAGTCACAGGAATCCATCATTGTATTAAACTTGTATCATACTTAGTTCTATAATTTTTATTGATTCTTGATAGTACAATTTTTATGGAAGCAAATTAGACTGACACAGTACTGCTGTCAGGAAACTTCTGATACCTTTCCTACCATAATTTGAATTAAAATTTGGATACTGTGGAAACTGATGTATTACAAAGCATGATTGTATTACTGTGCTGATTTTGGCTGGGATAGAGTTAATTTTCTCCATAGTAGCTGGTATGGGGCTATGGTTTAGGTTCGTGCAGGAGACCATGTTG